AATGCTTTTTGTCTTAACTATGCCAACCTGATCTATAGCTTTTGCTTTTCCTTTTAAATAAGTAAAACGGGGGAGATGTGGAATATACTACAAAGCATATGTACTTCACAGGGCATGGTTTTCCAAAGTCTTGCAGTTTCAAATTTTAACCTTGCAGAGGACTAGAAATTTCCCTCAGGCTATAAGTCTCTGTTGCAAGATAAGGATTGTGGCACAGCAGGTTGCTGGCTCAAAGACAGACTAGTTACTGATTGTTATGTAAAGATACTGAGAAATTGGTATAGAAAGGAATGTTTGCTAAGATTAAACTATGGTTGATAAGACCACTTAATTGCCTTACTGAAATGTCATCTGACTTGTTTCACTGAAAGTTACCAGCCCATAATGTTAAACTATAACCCCACCTTTGTTCTCTTCCTGTAACTTCCTGATCTGGAAAATAAATGCAGGAAGAGAACCCCAATTCAGGGTCAATTTCCCGAGGAAGGGTTGCCTCTCGCTTGAGCGTTCCCAAGGGAAGTTAACCACTTCAGGGTCTCTCACTGCTCAGGAGAGATGGGCTTTGAGTAAAGCTCTGTCACCCAGGGGAAGTGGGGTGACAAATCTGTGGGGGGCAAAGCAAAAGTTTCCCAACCCTCTCTTCTGCATCACGCACAACAGTCTTTAGACGCATCATAAACAAAAATAAACCACTCACTGCTTGGAAGAGATGGGCTTTTAGTAATCCTTTGTGTCTCCATCAACCAGGGGAAGTGGGGTGACAAATCCGAGGGGGGCAAAGCAATGCAAAGCAACAGTTTTTCTGTTACCCAATAAACAAAAGTATAAGAAGAATGAGCAATTCATAGAAGAGGAAAATTGAATAGCCAATAAATACAAGATGTTCAGCCTCATTAGTAGTCAAAAAATGCAAATTTATTCAAAGAGACAGCATGACCCACTATAAAAAATGTTTACCTTTGATAATACTGAGTGCTAGACACCACACTGAGAAACAAACCATCCATTTCTAGCAGAAGGGTCAACTGGTTCAATTTTTTTGGTGATACTTAGTAAACTCAACAATATGCATAGTCAATGACCTAACAATCCTCTCCAAGGTATATAACCTTCCAGAAGAAATGTTCCAGGACACTCACCACACCATTCTTTCTAATCACACACACACATGCACACAAACACATAAAAGGGAGAGCTTAACTAAACATCAATATGGATTGGATAAATAACTTGTATACTCACAGCATGGCTGAAATGAATAAACTAGATCTACATACATCACTTTGGATTATTTTAAAAATAAATGAGAAAAAAAGCAAGTTGTTTAGGGATATTGACAATATGATATCACTGATGTAAAAATTAAAACCCACAGCACAATACTCTGTATTATTTATGGGAAAACACATATTTAGTAAAAATATGAAAACAAGGAATCGAGCTTGAGATTACCTCTGGGGAAAGGAAAACGGGAATCAGATTAGGGAAGGGTATAGTATCAAGGATGCTTTAAATTTATCTCTAGTTTTAGCTCTTTAATGAAAAACGATCTAATATAAATATGAAAAAAATAGTAAATTGTATTGAGTCTATGTGGAGAGTACATATTTGTCATTTTATGTAAGTTTATGCTTTATTATACTTTATGCTTTTTTAAAAGTAGTTTATAATGTTTAAAAATACTTTATAGTTTTCAAAAATATACCTGTTTTTAAAATTTTTCCATGAAACTATTTCATCAGTCATGAAAAGTTCCTACCCCCACACAAATTTCTGTATAAACACTACTAAACATCATTTTAAGGCGCATGTTATATGCTGTTTAAGAAATAGAGACTAGTTAGTATCAGAAGAAGTATAAATAGCAGTAATATTTTACAGGAAAAGTACCAAGGTCAAATAAAGATGTCATGAAGATCAAGAAAGGTCCAAATAGCAAAAGAGTGCAAAGAGGGTTTCAAAAACTAGTCAAATGCCCCAAAAAATCCTTAGCACTGTATGAGAAGCCAAAGACATCATTGTCAAAAAAAAAAAAAAGTGTGTGTGAAAGTTAATTCTAGGTGTCAACTTGGTTAGATGAAGGAATGCTGAGAAACCTGGTAAAGCAATCTTTTTAGTTGAGTCCGTGAGGGTGTTTCCAGCAGAGATTAGTATGAGAGTCGGAGTGGCCTGGGTGTGAAAGACCCACCCTCAATGTGGGTGTCCAGAGAGAGTCCGGAGAGAACAAAAGACACAGGAAAGAGGTGAAGCTCTCTCAATCTGCTGGGGCTGGGATACGCTCTTCTCTCCTGTCCGTGGACATCAGAGCTTGAAACTCTTCAGCTTTTGGGTTCCAGGACTTACACCAAGGACACCATCAGCTTCCCTGGTTTTGAGGCCTTTGGACTTGGACTGAGCCATGCTACCGGCATCCAGTTTGCAGACAACCTATCGTAGGACTTTTCTTCATAGTCACATGAGCTAATTCCCCTAATAAATCCCTCTCATATAATTATAACATATCCTATTGATTCTGTCTCTCTGGAGAACCCTGACTAATACAGTGTGAAAAAAGTTTCTATTTGAATTTTAATTTGTGGGCACTTAGAGAATACAACACAGGGCACATGTCAGCAAAATGATTTATTACTAAGCCTATAATAAATATCAAAGTTTTTCCCTGGAAGTCAAACTTTAATTATTAATATCCCAAGAAGCTCCCATAGCAACATACCTGGAGAAGGAGCCTTTCAAAAGCCAGAAAGTTGTCCCATTTGGAAGTCTGTGGGTGTTTCAAAGTTTGAACTGTGGCCAGCCCAAGCTGTAGGAGCCCACAATGATTCATTAGAGCTTTGAGGTTGTTCTTGAAGAGCTGAATATAGGATGTGAGCTGCCCTGGAGTGACTCTACCTGGAGAAACATAATAATTTATCAATGTACCCTCTTCTAGGAGTAGTAAAAATAATGAGAAGGATGCCATTAACAATACCATTGTCTTATATTTGCACAGAACTTCAGAGTTGACTGCAAACTTTCCTAAGCTACTGTGATTCTTACAACGACATAGTAAGAATCTTTGTTTTATTACTTGATACTATTACCTGCATTTTGTATGTAAGCAAACAGATATTATGGGATCTGGCCAAAGTCATATTGCTGGTAGAATTAATTGTATAACTTTGCAATACCCTGTAAATAAGTTTTAAAACAAAGTGGCACCAATAAATATTTGTTGAGTTCAACTTGCAGGTAAGATTTCTAATTGTGTGTGTATGTATATAAAATAAGAGGAGAAATCTTTTATGTATATAGCTAAAACTTTATCATTAATATCAGTGAGTTTATGACAATAATCATGAAGATAAAAGCTGTCTGTTACGTGGAACAAAAATGTATGAGAACTAGGGTGGCAAAAACACTGGAAATGAGATATCAGAAGAAAGGTTTGGTATGGGTAACATAGCACATTTGCTAGAGCGGTCACCTAGATTTAGAACAAGAGAACCAACCTCGTAAAACTCTAGAGATTGTATAAGACACACATGCGCGTGTGCACACACACAAACACACATTGTTTTTTTGTTTTTTTTTTTTTAAAAAGATGACCGGTAAGGGGATCTCAACCCTTGGCTT